GGGTCTAAGGTGAGGATTTGGGGAGGATTGTGATGGACTCTGTGTACTTCAAAGTACGGATTCTAAAAGGCATCATTGACATTTAATCAGGTGGACCATACATGGTTAGCAGCACAGGTTGTCTTTACTGTGGTTGAGGATGTCCAAAGCTTAGGAACGGATAGTGACTGGTGGGAAGGATCTGGTTGAATGCAGGGCCCTTTAGTCTCTGCAGAGAGGGACAAGAGATGACATGTTCAGGGATAACTTCAAGCAAGAAGTTGTTTCTATTTCAAGGTTACCTCAGAGTGGCCCTTGCCTGGGATAGAAAGTTGGAATGAAGGAAATTTATTGTTGTAGACTGTTTTCTCCAAGGGTCCTGAGACATTTCTCTGATATCCAATAAAGCCATCATCATCCGATTTCTTGTTCCAGAGAATTGTGAATTCCCAAGAGCACCAGGGTGATTTACATTGGTTTTGCTAAGAGCCTAGGGCATTACCATGTTGCCATCAAAAACCTGAGTTCCCAGTTTGAGTCTCCCAAGATAAGCATTATCAGCAAATTCCTTCTCAGAAGAAGCTCAGTCCCCATGAATTTTGACCTTGGAACGTTTCCGTGGGGTTGAAGAGGAACTAGAATTTTAAAACTCAGAAAGAGTCCACCTCTATGTGCACCACTCTGTCCTCAAGGAAACGTGTCTTTTCCAGGGTTAATAGCTAATGATGATGTCTGACTCCTAGACACTCAGCTCTGGGCAGAACCACTGGTCCTCAAATATTTTATAGATGGATGTTTATTATTTAGAGGAAAGATCTGGAGGCTGAGACAGGAAAATGGAAAGTTTAAGGCCAGCAAGGAGGTCAGTGGGCGGGGAATGTTCAAAGGAATAATGAGGTTAAGAGGGTGTGGTTTCGGTATATCTGTATTCAGTATTTGGTGACCAGCTGAGAGCCGAGCCCCAGGACTCTGCCACACTGACTCAAAGGATGGCATTTCTGCTCACCTCGTGGTGAGATAAACATAGAAATCAACCCCATTCTGGAGTGGTATGAATGAAGACATCCACTCAGTGCCGAGGTTTGATCTGAAAACAACACAGCGCGCTTTCTCTTCCTTATCTCTGCCTGACAGTTCCTAAGCAATTCTTGGCTTCCTGAACCTCGAGTATTCATTCGTTTGTTTTGTTTTTGTTTTTTGTTTTCTTTCATTCACCTAGGAGTTACCAAGCACTTGTATGCCCGGCTCTGAATGAGTACAGTGGATTGTGTATAAATACAATGGGCAGGTTTTTTGCCTTCCTGTCATTGAATTTAAAAAGGGCGGAGCCAAAACCTAACCGAACAAATGATATCTTGGAAGGCTGAGGGGTTCAAAGAAACAAACAGGAAGTAGCTGGGCTTTGGAACCACCTTGGAAAGTGTTGCTAAAGAGGTATCTGTGAAGCTTTGACTGTGGGCTGAGGGCTAAAGCCAAAATAGGAAAAAGTCACAGAGAGTTATAGGGTGGGACACCCAAAGAGACTGAAAAGAACTTGGAATGCTTAAGTACCCAGAGAGGCTAGGTTTCTAAAGGAGGGAATGTGTGGCTCGGAGGGAGAGGCAGAGATGTTTAGGTCTGTTCAGAGAGGTGTGGCTATAGACTCTTGACTTCTTAAAGAATTAAAACCGATTCATTGCCGCGTGATAGAACACTCCTTTAATCCAGCATTTGGAAGGCGGAGAGGTAGGTGGATCTCTTCGTTTGAAGCCACCCTGGTTCTGGAGCTACATAAAGAGACCTTGACTCAACAACAGAAGAGCAACAAACAAAACAATAAAAGAGAGGGGAGAAGGGAGGGAGGGAGGGAGGGAGGGAGGGAGGGAGGGAGGGAGGGAGAGAGAGAGAGAGAGAAAGAGAGAGAGAGGGAGAGAGAGAGAGAGAGAGAGAGAGAGAGAGAGAGAAAGCAATCAATCTGGTTCAGGGCACACCTGAAATTCAGCCCTCTGAATACTCACATAGGAGAATCACAGGTTCAAGGCCAAGTTGACTTAAAAAATAAAAACAAAACAGAGTGGAGTGTGGTGACACAGCCCTTTAATCCCCACACTTGGGAGACTGAGGCAGACGGATCTCTGTGAGTTTGAGGACAGTCTGGTCTATACTGCAAGTTCCAGGCTAGCTAGAGCTGCTCAGTGAGACCCTGTCTCAAAACAAAAATAAAAACAAGGGGTCGAAACTAATGAATTTCTAGTTCTTTGAACTCTCAAATTTAAATAGGTAGAAAATACACCCAAGAGGCAGCTTGGGAAGAGGGTGGGTGGAGCTCCTTCCTGCCCACATCCACATCCCCACCCCCACCCCCACCCCACCCCACCCCCCGCCGTCCTCCTTGGTTCTCTCCCTGGGGTATTCAACAAGACTTTCCCACTCTTCCATCCACCAGTGACTCTTACCAGCAGCGTGACAGCCAAGCCACCAGCCAGTCCCATCCCTCGCAACGTCCCAATATTTCTTGATAGACACATCTGTTGTCTTACGTGCAATAGGATTGTAATCACCTGTATTTAAAACTAATGGATTTGAAATAACCTGCAGGCTTCCACTTTAATGAGAGTTAGATTAATGAAAAAGGACCTTTTGCCTCAGATTGCATGACAACATTTTCAAATTACATTCCTGGAACAGAGAATTCACTTATTCAGAGTAATTGGATGCTGACTTGGGTTAATACGTACAATGTCCTTAAATGAAAATGTTCTATTGTAAGGGGAACTGTATGATACCTGAGGCTTTCTCAATAGGTTTGGTTGGACTCTCAGTTAATTATACTGCATGCTATTTTTTGAATGAATTCAAGCATGAATTCTACACGCTAGAGATCGGGATAATTATATTCAATTCTGCTTGGTGCCCCGCTGGAAGAATTGACCTTTGAGATAAAACGAGTCTCCTGAACAAGAAACCTGTAGAAAGTCGACACAAAGCAGCAGATGCAAGAGCAGAGTCTTGAGCTAGCCGGGAGTGGGGGCGGGGAGGGAGGCTGGCCCAAGGAACAGTGGCATCAGCAAGATTGATTTTTTTGTCACGGCAAAGTATTTCTGTTTTGCAGCTTGTTTTGAATCCTTCGTACATAAAGGTATAATTTAAAACCATTGATTTTACTAAGCTGTTTTCTCATCAGTAACATGGCAAAAAAAGTAGCAGCAATGAAGAATGAGGAGCCAACAGAGAGCAGTCCTGGGAGGAAGCCTGGGCGTGGGGCCTGGGGAACAGGACAGATACAGAGGCCAGCTCCGCTCTGTTCATCAGGCCAAGCTGCCTCTTTTGCTGGTGGCTATGACTGATGCTGAGGGATGCAGAGAGGAAAGGCTGGGTCTGAAGCCTGATTCTTCTCCTTCCTGGACCTGAGGCCTACAGCTAGGTAACCACATGCCTCAGTTTCCTCTTCTGCTAACAGATACGGGCAACGAATGACAATGAGAGGATTAAGCAGAAGAGCTTTGCCCAGTGCAGCGGTGGCCGCTATTAATGGTGGCCTCTCTGTTCTAGCATGATGACTTATTAACGGGACTGAAGCCCTTAGAAAGGTGCAAGTACCCAGCTTTAGGGAGGAAGGCAGGGCCTGTGCTGTGTGTCCTGAGGCTGACATTCTCTGAAACTAGAACCACTGGACAGGCAAGATAGCAGCCCTGGCTTTGGAGTCTGAGACTGGCCAGGCATGGTGGAAGCAAACTATGCTTCTGGGGAAGCAAGATTTCCATTCCGTGGCTTTTAGAAAGGCAGGGGACAGGGTCGTAGACCTATCTCCTTCCCCAGGGAGCACGGACTTTAGTTCTTTTACTTGTGTGACCAGCCATGCACCCTTGCAATTGCTGTTCTTTGGTATCTTTAAGGGAAAAAAAAAAGCACCACTGTGGGGCCTCCAGAGTGAACCTCTAAGGGTTTCAGGATCTCAGATAGTGATGCTGGTGTGTATAGCCACGGGTCCTCTACCAAGTCTCTCTTTAATTGTGCTTTCCCCTCAATCCTTACTCAGCCTTTGTGCAGTACTGCAGGCAGTCCCCAGACATCGGCCTATGTCCCTGCTGCTGCTCTAATGGCTGCTGCCCTGGCCTGCTGAGTGTTCCTGGTATGAGACACAGGATTTGAGTCAGAAGGAAACTCGGATATGGAAATTTGGTAGAATTACTGGAAATAGACTCTTGTTCGTTCTGATGAACTTGGCGTTTAGAAAACTCAAACCTATAGCTACCAGGCTATGGCCCAGGAGTCAGACCAGCCAGAAAATAGAGCCAACAAAAGGAAAGATTACCTAAAAACATGGGGGGAGAAATCCTAGATCCAATAACCAAGTTTGGAGTTCCTGGATCCAGCCATGCCTGAAATTATCCTTAACAGTGACATTTCAGTTTAATGAACTGTACACTACCCTTTCTTCTCCTCCTCTTCCTCCTCCTCCTCCTCCTCTTCCTCCTCCTCCTCCTCCTTCTCCTTCTTCTCCTCTTCCTCCTCTTCCTCTTCCTCCTCCTCCTCTTCCTTCTCCTTCTTATTCTTTTTATTTAAAGGTTGTCTGGGTTATCCTGTCATCAGATGGAGAGTTCTCAGGAAAACATTCGCCATGAAGCTTTCTGCCAGGAGTTGACTACCTAGATCTAAGCAGAATGTCCGCCCATTGTCATAATGTCTAAGTCTACCTGCCATGTGCTTGGTGCATTTGGGCTTGACAAGCAGGAAAAGGAAGACTCCTTTTAGTCTCTGTGTTGGGAATGAAGGCCTCTGGAAACAGGTGGCCCTGTGCTTCCTGCTTCTCTTTCCTATGATCTATCATTCCACTACCTTTTCTTTAACATCTTTACTCTGGTTGTGTTTTTTTGAAGCTCTCCTGGCATGGCTGCATCTTGCCTCTGCCATCTGGCTGTTCTGGCAACATCGGCAGAGCTTTGATTCTGCCCCGGGGGATGCCTCCCTTCATGGAAGCGAGTATGACGATTGTTGTCTAAGCTACAAATAGAAGTCATGCTTCCCTCTTTGTCTTTCAGGACTTGAATGTTGCCTTGAGATCTTCTGGACAACTCAGAGGAGTGACATCGTGGCCAAAGCCCAGATGCTTTGCACTCTTGTCCCATGTCTGACTGGCTTCTGATCTTAGACATCACTTCTCGTGGTTCTGTCTGTCTCCTCCACCCTCCTTCTCCCCATCCCATCTTCCTCTCTTCCTCTTCTCTCCTACTTTATGTGTACACACATGTTCTGAGACCTGAATTCAGAGCTGCATGGATTCAAGTATTCAAGTGTTTGTTTGTTCATTTGTTCATCCGTTTATTCACTGATGGAGCCTAGCACCTTGTGCGTGCTCAGACTGCTCTCCCTTGAGCTTGACCTGCTCCATAGTGCTAGCCTCTTCTCTTCATAAATGAGGGTCTGGGCTTGGTCAGTCTAACACTATGTCTCCCTATTCCCAGATGTCTCCAGCTGATCAATGTAGTCATTTTTACACAGCCTCTGAATCCTTCTCCATCCCAAGATCATTAAGAGTCACATGTTTGGTCCATGATCAAAATACTTCTGGGCCAGGAAGGAGCACATTCTCAGTTGTAATGTTGATATCTTCACCTGGAAGTCTTTTCCTTTTTCCCCTCAGTATCTCTGGTTGCTTTGTCTGGGCATGAAGAAGAGGCAGAGACATTGCAGCCTGTCTACATCCAGAAGTGTCATGGTACATGGCAGCATAGAGAGGGGTGGTATCTCCCTTCATGGCAGAGTGGGCTGTTTCCATAGTTCCATGGAGATCTGGAGGCAGAAAGATGTCAGCGATTAATTCTATTATGTGGTTGGTACAATTAGTCAACTTACGTAAAAGGACCAACACTTTTGACTCAGTTTTTTCCCTCTTTTCCTGACGGTTCCAGTCTCTTAGATTTGTACGTTATCTGTGACTGATCTATCATTTATCTAAAGAATACCCTTGTCATTCACTGCATTTAATTAGCTTATGGATTCTAAATTATCTGCTACCATAAAATGTGATTTTATACTGCAGATTACAAAGGTTTTTCAGAAATTTAATATGCCACTTTTAATTGGCAAGAAGCACCCTAAAGGACTCACAGTGGTTTTTACTGCACTTGCGTTTAGGCTCAAGGGAGACAGATTGAGAGTGGTTAGTAAGAGATGGGATGTGGGTCAGTGAGACAGGGGGATGATTTATTCAGAATCAGGCAAATCAGGAGGGACAGCACCATAAATAAAGCCATCAGAGAGCGCTGCGCAGGCAGTGAGACCATGGAGCGGGAGATTGGGTATTTTCTGACTTTCATATCCCAGTCAGTCATTTTGATGGGCTAACAATGGGTTTATGACCCGCACTCCCAAGTTTGCTGTAATGACTAAGAATGGCCTATATTCCGCTCTTCTGCCACATCCGACACAAACCCTCTGTATGTGCTCAGACATCTTTGGCCTTCTTGGTGCTGAGCTCAGTGGTACAGCGGTGCAAGCATTCATTTAGCAAAAGCAAACAGCCTTTTAAAACCCTTAGACTATGAATATGGTCTACAGTGACGTTATGGACATAGTAAAGTGATTGAGAAGTTGGAAACAAGTTCAGAGGCTTCGACAGGCTTCCATCCATGCGAGAGCAAGTTGACAAAGTATGCCTGTGAGTGTCACAAATCACAGCCTTCGAGGGAGGATGGTGGGAAGAGTCAAAAGAAATGTTGTGAGGCTTTGAGCTCCTCATACCCCAGGGACCCTTCTCTCGGAACCCAGATCCTCATCACCAGGGCTCCCTTATATCCTACAACAAAGACAGCTACCACTGATCTTTTAGACACAGATATTTAAGAGCTCCCTGAGAAGCCAGTGTGGAACCATCCTTGACCCTCACAACTGTCCAGTTGTGGGTACATTGACAGCGTCCATTTCACTCAGTAGATTTAACTGGGAGAATGTAATCATCTGGAAGATTATCCTGGAGGAGAAGAAACAAGAGATCACTTTGTCATGGGGGTCGGAAAAGGATATGAGCCTGGGAAGTCCAAGCTGGAGTTAAGAGCTAAGAAAAGAGAGGTGGGAACATAATATTAAGAGAACGTTTCATGGGTCATTTGTCATGATCAGAGCTATAGTCAGTTCTAATCACAATACTGTTCAGAGCATTTGGTGTATATCAGGTGCTGTGCTGGGCTCCTAGATATGAATGGTAATATTGGAGTCTATGTTTTATAGACAACCTAACTTGTCTTAGAGCCTGAGATGACTTATCCCTGACTTTGCTGCAGGTGGAATTGGGATGTACACCTCAGCCTGTACTCTGCAAGGTCCCCTGAGACAGAAGGGATCCTGGGATGCTCGGTAGAAGCTGCAGGAGTTTCTTTATGGCTCCTACTTAGACCGACCACATGCAGGGGCAGCTGGTCTCCACCATATTCATTCTGAATGAACTGAACTCTTTCTCCAGGAAGCACAGTACTGTCCTGGAGAACAAGGAGTAGAGGGGCCCAGCCTGCTGCAGGGAGCCTGAGGAACTGTGTTCCAGCTTCTCCGAATCCCCCAACCCTACTCCCCTGGAACACACCTACCCTTCGCTTCCAACAACTCTGGGTTCAATTTCCAGTACTGGAGAGAGAAAGAGAAAGACACAGACGGGAGGAAGGAGGGAGGGAAGGAGGGAGGGAGAGAATGAGGGAAGGAGGGAGGGAGAGAAGAAGGGAAGGAGGGAAGGAGGGAGGGAGAGAGGGAGGGAGGGAGGGATGGAGAGAGGGAGGGAAGGAGGGAAGGAGGGAGGAAGAGGAGGAGGGAGGGAGGGAGGGGGAGGGAGAGAGGAGAAACAGTAACATAGATGAGTATAAGGAAAAATTAAAGTCAATCCATTATCCTACCACATAGGAACTAGGTGTTTCTGTGTACACATGTGAGCGCCTAAGTATGTGTGCTATGGAAAAGTAAGTCATGCTTGCCTTTGCACCTCCTAAGAGACAAAGGTTTCCATCTCAGTCCTCAGGAACTTGGCTTTCCATATTTAAAGAGACAGACTATTGCGTCCCTTACACAATGTTCATGAGGATCCGAGGTGGCAAGCACTGGGAGGGCTGTGTAGTGGCTACGCGTAAGTGCTCAGTAAATACTATCCGTACTTATTAGTGTCGATATTAAAGCCATCATAGAAGGATCCGTCAGGGCTGTTAATATTTCTTACACAGCATCGCGTTAACACAATTTTATTGGTTTTCATCCTGGAAGTGAATACACTCATTTATAAACTTGGAGAGATACAAAGTGATAAGCCATAAAACCAGTTGTAATCTCACTGATAATAAAGAAATAATCACAGGCTGGGGAACATGACTCAGTGGCAGAATGCTTGTGTAATACATACAAGGAGCTGAATTAAACCCTGTTATCACAAAACAGCAACAAAAACAAACAAAAAAACCCTGCACTGAAATGGTACTATGCATGTTTCTATCTACTTCATATGTAACACATATGCACATAACCTATGTCTGAGCCTATATAGTATTTTAGTTATTACCTACTTTTTTGGAGGGCTGAGGATTGAGTCTAGGTCTTACACACACTAAACACATATTTAAACACACCCATTAAACAATCTTCCCTCCATGATTCTATTAATATCTTTGTTCCCCCTAAAAAAAATACATTGTGAATATTGTCTCATATTTTACAACATTTGCTGCATTGAAACATCTCAAGAGCTGAGTTCCAAAGCTAGTTCTTTCCAGTGGACTTAAAGGCTGTGTATAAGTATCTATCCACATTTCTGGGCCCTCATAGAAAAGAAACTTCTGGATCAAGGGCACTGCGGGTCTGAAGACTATCTCCAAGCAGTGCCGGGGGCTCTGGCCAGTGCCAGACAAGAGATAATTTGCTCAGCAGCAAACTTTGAATCGCAGCCTGCTTGCTGTGTATTTTTGCATAAAGGCTTTTGGGCCAAAGAGTAGCTGGCACACCCACTCAATTTTGTGGGGTGTTGGTCCAAAGATAATGATGAGAATCAGCAGTGGAGAGACAAACAGTGACAGCTCCCAGGTTTCTGTGGTTCTTCCCGACTAATTCCATAACCATAAAGAAAACATCGTCTGTTCAGGTCGACCCTTCACTGGAAGAACACCGGCTTCGTACAAGACTGGGAGATAGACACAAAACATTAATGAACATTTTACAGTGTCCACCTTTGGCAAAGTATTGTCACATGCTTCAGACAAATCCCAACCTAGGACTTGGAGAACTTGTTTTCTAGAGTCGCTTATGCTGTTTATGAAAGTGCAACCCAGGCCTGCCTCTTTGCTACTCGTAGAAGTCCCCAGACCAAGATTCCGTACTTCTTGCCTATTACAGGTCATCAAGGTGGGAGAGCTGGAAGGTGCTAGAAGGTGTCTGGAGGGACAAAGAGGAGGAAGGTTGAATGAGCAGAATTCAACCCTCCAGCCCCTGAACTGCAGGTCCTGAAACCACAGGGCTCACACAAGTCTCTAGCTATATTTCCTAAACCCCATCAGTTTTGTCGTGTGTCATACAGAAATACGAACCAAAATGTAGCAGAAGTAATCAGATAATGCCGTTCAGGAATGTAGTGGTCATGTGGCTAACACAATAACTACTGTAAGGCACACATTGGGAGTTTTTTAGACTCAAGTTTGGAAAGATCACTGGTTCCTCTAATTTCTTATTCTCACGGACAGAAAGCTTACAGACCAGAAAGGCCTGTGTTCACAGGGACACGAAGAATCTGGTAAGTGTGGAAACACATAGACATGGGTCCACTGGTCACCAGCAGTATCATGACATTGTCATGACCTTGTCAGCAAGGAGGAATGCCAGCATCATCTCTGATGGCGACTGGCTTACCTGATGGTGAAGGACATGGGTTGCTTGTGTGTGGCTTCTGTGTCAGGTGCTGAGCCTCTGAGCTCTTCTATTTGAGTGGCCAGTAGCTTCTATGATTGCACTGGGCTTTCCAAATTCCTTACAGATGCTAATCTTTGGGATTCAGGAATAAGAAACCAAAGCCCCAAACCCCAAGTCATTCTCACAATACCTTTAACATTCTCCATCCTTTCTAGGAATTTTTATAGATGTCTAAACCACTGCTAGATAAATACAAACACAGAACACTGGATGGTATTTATAGGGATCCTTACAAAGATTTTATGAAGAATATTTGCCTCTAGCAAATACTCAGTACTAGAAAGTGCCAGTGAACATTATTGAGTAATATTTGAATAACATTCAGGTCTCTCAGCTACGTTAAAAGCAACATA